TTATTATTATTATTATTGACCAAATGCCAACAATATTTTCATTTAAAAATAGCAGTAGGACTTTGCCAGAGTTTAGAGGGTGCCAGCTGAAATTAAAGAGCGAAGAGATCACACACAGTGTTTGGCATTCTTAGCTAATTCCATACTGCCTTATCTATCCTCCTAAAATTGCCCTAGAATGAGCATACTGCTAGTTGAGGCATAGCCAGAAAAAGCATGCTTTACAAATGATTGATTGCTCAGTGCTTGAGTTGAGGTTGAGTACAGAATTGTATTGTTTTGTTACTGATATTCAAGAAAAACAGGCACTGACCTTAAGATAAAGATTATTGCAAAGATTAAGCACACACTTAACCTTACACCAGAACCTTGTGATGGATGGATGGAGTCATTAACTTGTCAAGACTTTTGATATGGTAGTTTGCTTCTTAGAGTTAATTAGCTAGTTGGGAACATGGTATTCATGCAATTGTATGGCCTTTTCTGAATCATGTGGGAAGCAACTCATTTGCTCCTTGATCAAGATAAAAGCAGCTTATAATAATGCAGCTTTCTAGAGTCTGCATCAAGTTCCTGATGCTCTGCAGGTTATGTCTTCCAGAATCCAGGTTATGAAAAGAAGCAACTCATGATACTTGAGCTTTAGGGATCATGATGATGTCCTCTTAAACTGGAGCACAATACTACATGGTGCAAGGAGTCAGTGGGTTTGAAGATACTGTGTAATAAATTCCAAGTATATGAAAACCACACTGGGCTTATCTTTGTTTAATATAATTTAAATGGAGGATGAAATGATAAAATCAGATTACTCTGTGCATGATACCCTGGTTTCCTGTGTAGGGAGTTTTTGAGGATCCAGGACTCATTTTGCTCCCACACCTGGCTGTGCCAAAACCCCTCTGGCCCCTCAAAAATATTTACCCACAAAATGACAAATCACATCCCCGTTTAAATGTTGTTTTGACTCTCCTGGGCCTTTTTTAGGCTAGATGAATCACTTCAGTTTCTAAACAAGCCCTTTTCTGTCCTGAAACAAGCTTGTGGAGTGGGAATAAAGTGGGAATGGCAAATCATACCCCTCCTCTATGCTTCTAGGGGCATGATGGGACGTTTTTCAAAAGGAAACGACTATGGGGGTTTGGAGGTCAGAGGGCACTGCATACGGCCCAAGGGATTCACTTTATCATTACCTTAAAGGACAGATGAGATGATGCAAAAGAGTATGTCAATAGTCTTGT